TCATGAGGCCGTTGTAGGTGGTGGCGCCCGGCGGCTGTTGGTAGCCCTGCGGGATATCGGCGTGCGCCATCACGTCGGGCTCGCGCAGCCCCGCCGGGTAGCCACCGCCAACTCCGGCCCCGCCCCCGCCGTACGCCAGCGACGCTGAGTCCACGCCCAGGCGGAGCAGCCCCTCGTCCTTGTCGTGTGGGGGCGGCGGCGGCGGCGGGCCCTGCGGTATTGCGGTGGCTGGGGCGGCGGCTGCTGCGGATACAACTGTAATACTTGAGTTGCTGCTTGCTAGGCCCCGCTTGCACTCACAATGATATAGGCAGACAGGGCGTCGCAGTTAAAGCAGCAAAAGCATATCACACATTATTTAAAGTTTATGGGTCCTTGGGAGCTAAGTCCCTTCAGAAGACTGCAGGATGGTGGATCAGCACAAGTGAAAATGAAAGACAGAATATGTTTTAGCAAATGTCGAAGCAAGAGTCCTTTACTTACACAGAAATGAAGTTACACAGAAAACAAGTTACATCAAAGTGATGTGGAGACCTCCGTCCAAGTAAACGGTAGCTCAGAGAGTCCCCCGGGCGGGGCCCGTTGGCGTATTTTATAGTACTCAGGGCTTTGTTCATCATACGCTTCCACTTGGGTGGCACGTGGCCTCCCTTCCCCAAACATGACGTGGCCACAAGGCGTCGAAACGCCTCTCTTTGCTGATGCCTCTACTTCGGACATGTCCGTCACCTTAAAGGCTTACTCAGCTGAGGGCTGCTAGCGGGTGGCCTCATGTCGCAAGAACCCACGTGCCTAAGTATTTATGTTAGTGGATACTTCCCAGTGGAATGCGTCATGATCAAAGCTCCTATAGAATATTAAAAAGTATGATTACAATTATTAGTTACAATCATTACAGTTACAATCATTACACAACGTAGCTGGTGTTTCGCATGATGCCCACTGCTGAAGTGATTTCTGTAGGCGGCGGTTCACAGTGGTTGATCTCCAGAATCTAGCGGTATTTAATTAAAAAATGCATGTGTTCGAAACGAATGAAAGACTGCGTGGGCGGGTCACTCATAGTCTTGCCAGGACTGTACCAGTCTCTATACGTGCAACATAATTTCTCAGAATGGGGGGAGGGGTATGTTCAGCGAGCGCTTCCGAACCGCGCGCGCAGCCATGCCTAAGTCCTGCTGTGACACGCTTGCCAAATGTCACGCCCAATGCTACTGAATGGTTACGGATACCTTGATTGTACGATATGGGCGAGAATCTGGAAGGTATGTTCTTTAAAGTGCGCTAACGTTAAATAGGAAATTTTACATTTTTCGGTTGTATTTTATATGCGAAAATATCACCATTTATTCGAGACATATTTCTTAGTGATCGGAAATTTAAACCGAGTTATCTTGAGTTGTCAGCAATTGCCAAGAATGCTCTTTGCACCATTGTATTCTCTAACCCTTCCGAAACAAAATGGTGGAAAACATTTTTGCCCAAATTTGCCCCTTTGCGAAAAAATCGTAAGTCATTTTTTTCAGATGCTTGTACTCAACGGGAGCTATTCGAGCTCTCGCATGAGGGTAAACTCTCTCATGCAACAGATTTACGGAATGAAAAAATTCTAATGCAGAATGTTTCCCGTAATGTTCTTGGAAGTATTCCAGAGGCAGTATTAAGTGAGAAGACACGGAGATTCACCTGCCAAATTGGTGACAAATGGAAGGCTTGTAACAGACTGATAGATTCGCGGCAAGCAACCCAGCATGACTGGGCGACGATATGTTTTCTCGGAAGAAGCTCGGAAAACGACAAAAGGTCGAAATGAAAAAGAATTATCTTCACGTTCGAAGAGAACAAAAAGTCGAAATGTACAGCGAGATTTAACAGATCCATTTCATTTGAATTTGTGGAGACACCACATAGGACAAATGCAGAAATAGCTCGCTTAGAATAAAACAGTAAGAGGCTTCAAGCAACAAAAATTAATATTGGAGGTGCAGATATCTCTGTATATCACAAATTATTGAAATACATGAGGGAAAATGTGTCACTTAAGTTAAAGCCACCTCTCAGAGGTTTTTTATTTATGATGCATCTTCAAAGCAAATGAACAAACTGAAACAAATTGTTATAAAACCTTGCCATATGAATCTTTTTATGTTGGCCTTTTACGCTCAAATTAGTTTCTTAAAGTCCCTTCTTCCCATTTCTTACAGAAATACTTTAAGGTTCTATTTAATACTAATAAACCAGCGGGTGGCGCTGTTTAGCACTGCGCGGCGACGGAGGGAGTGTTAGGGTAATATTATTATGTCATCGTATGACTCGCTGCAATGTGTTTTTATGAATTTCGCTTGTTATTGAAAGTACACAAGTTCAGTCAATTTTTGGCGGCATTTTAATGCATTATTTATGATGTTTAGAGAATTTGTTTTCATTTAATATTAGATTTATTGATTCAAAATAAACACTTGATGAATTCTTTGTGTAAAGTTGGCCTTTCTGGAAGGAAGTTCCTTTCTGTCTATATCGGCGGATGCATATTTTCCCCTGTAGCAGCCTGCAGTGACTGACCATTACAGACGGCGAGCTCTGGTGAGAAAACGACCGTGTGTGTGTGTGTGTGTGTGTGTGTGTGTGTGTGTGTGTGTGTGTGTGCGTGGTAGGATTCTTTGTTACAAAATATACTAAGGCAGTGAAATTTTCGAAATAAATTGTTTTTGTGGGAAACGTGTCGAAGCAATAGTGTTTGTTGTAATGTGCTGGAGTTGAACTTAATGCCCGGGGGAAATCAAAGTCAGACCCACGTGCGCAAGAGGTATATAATATATAGATGTGTATAATATGTATACATGTGTGTGTGTGGACACGGACACAACGCATAAAATTTTGTAAGTAATGTTTCAATATAGACTTTTAATTCAGTTTCAATAAATTTGAATTGCTTATATTTATTATATAATTGCGTTTGAATTTTGGAAATTAAAGTTCCGTCATTCGATGGAGGTGCTACCTCCAGTCTTACGGGGCACCAGCGGTTGTGATAAAATTGATAATAAATATGTCGTTCCGAATGTTGCCTAATTAAATTTTTGTAACATGGAGACTACGTACTGAAGGATCAAAGTCAATTATAATAAATCAACAAATGACAAATTAGAGCATTATTTTAAAGATTGGTTATTAATACTTTAAATGTTAATTTTCTTAAACACACTGGTTAGGTGGCGACAGTCCGTAGCAAATTAGACGGCGTGTCCCTTCACCGTACAAAAGCTTCAACTTCTACATAGCAGTCGTTGCGTAAAACATCACAAAAAGAAATCGAAGTCATTTACAAGTTAGCCAACTGCAAACGAAGGGAGGAAGAAGAGTCTAATAGGTTCAAGGACACAACGTCCTGAACCTTCAGTTGTGTTGCCAGCACTAGCGGTCAAAACGTCCCATTCTAATAATAATCGCTCAATACTTTGAAAGACCATTGACATTGCAAATGGATTAAAATCAAAAGTTAGACTTTTCGCCGATGATTGCATAACATATAGGAGTATTGGCTCGTCTGAGGACGAAAATGTTTTACAGAGCGATCTTAACTGTTCAAGGAACTGAGCGTGCAGAAATATAGAATTAAATCCGGAAAAGAGTAAATTCATTTGCTTTATCAAGTCTCGCTCGAACGTACGCTCCAGTTATGAATTAGGAACTGACGTTATACCGCGTGTAAAAAACTGTAAGTATTTGGGTTTGGTCCTGCGAAGCGACTTATGTTGGTCGGATCATATTAACAATACGGTTAAAAAATCCTGGAGGGAGCTGCACTTTGTAATGCGTATTCTAAAAAATAGTAGTCCAAATGCCCGATCCCTAGCATATACTACACTTGTTCGTCCAATTTTAGAATACGGAGCGGCATGCTGGGACCCGTACAGAAAAGGGCAAATTGAAGCGTTAGATAAAATTCAACAACGGGCCTCAACGTTTGTAAATCACGGGTGCGTTGGTGAAGAAATAGAAGAATGGGAGTCCTTATCTAAGAGAAGGGAACGGGCGCGTTTATGCGTAATGTATGACATACAGAGGGGACACAGCATGGGCAGATATCGGTAAAAGATTACAGAAATCAGATTATAAAAGCAGAGGAGACCATCCTTGGAAAATACGATGTAGAAAGCAAAGAACTGATGTAGGCAAGTTCTCCTTTGTGAATCGCACTATAGTAGACTGGAATAAACTACCTACAGAAGCACTAGAGGTTCTTCTAATGTAGCTAAATTTAAAAATATGCTTCATTCCATCTAGATCATCTCGAATAATACTGGCTGAGACATTTATCTTCATTATTACTTTTATTATTTTTATTATTACTATTACTTTTATTATTATTGTTATAATTATTATCGTTAAGTCCCTTATACAGTGAAGTGTAGTGTAGTGAAGTGTTATGTAAACTAGAAGTGAATTTAGAGTTAGCTAGAAATAAATTGGAACTATTATATCGACCCCTAATTCTAATAGTAAACCCAATTGTAAATGTTGAAAATGTTTAGTTATTGTAATTCTAATTGTTATCATGTTTGCCACCGAGCATTAGCTCAAAGCGAACTTTAATAAATCTATCTATCTAATGGCTGCCGGACGTGCCGCGTGAGCCGTGGCTGCGCGCTCACGGCGCGTTGTCAGACGTGGATGGCACATCCGAGAAAAGAAATTTAAGGTGCAATGTTCTTACACAATTTTTCGTAACTGTATTGAAGAGGGAGAGCCGCCTTTACAAAGACCACTGCTTTTGCAACACCCTAAGAAATTTAACTCGCCCATCACCTTTATTTTTTTTTAATCGCGAAATTGTTTTCGGGGGTTGTTATCAGACCCAAAGACTCGACACGTTTCTATAAATTTGTTGACGAGCTGAATCCGAAACTAATGCCTGAATTCCGCCACTACCCTCCAATTTGTGTTTTTATATAAAAAAAGAAAGAAACCACACACCACAACATGAAATTTACAATTTCACGGAGGTTTTTTGCAATTTAAAATAATGTGTACTTGTGTTATTAAATTCTATTGAAAAATATGTATTACCCATTTATTATCGTTTGGCAGCCGAGTTATGGGCACACCAATATGGCGGATGTCTCCAGCCCTGGCTTCACTTGCTGAACGTGGCAGGCGTTAATACCACCACCTCTATGTATTCATAGTTCTATGGGTCCTACCATAGATAATAATAGTTGAAGGTCCTACTATCAAAAACAATGCCAATATATTAAAATCTTTTTAATCAACAATTTGTATTTCTAAACAAAATACATTCAGATTTAGATGGGATGGTTATCATTGCAGTACGATAATACATTTATGCATTTCGAATTTTCACTTTCAACATACTACTTGGCATTCTAACTCTTCATCCAACAGTCACAATGATATATTCAACACATTTGGTAAAAATACATATGTAATTGAAAATAACAAAAAACTAATACACTAGTATGTAATATTGTTTGTTTGTTTTCCACAATGACCATTAGTAATAACACATAATACAGGTCATAAAAGATTTGAAAGACCAATTTTAATGACATCGAAGCTTTTCACTGCAAGAAACATTACTAAAATGTATTATTAGTAACATTTCTGTAATTCACTACTTTCAAGATTATGTTTTTCTGTTATGATACTTTTGCATTTAATATAAATTCTGCAATTAACTTTCCTCTAGCTTCAACTGATACATTCTACAATTATCTGTAAATGAGAAGCATGTCAAGAAGACAGACCTGATCCAAAAAAGTTCTATCACAAACATAATTTAATTGGCACTTGCACGTCTTTAACAGCATAGCCCATTAGTCCGCTTGCTAGTGGCTATGCCACAGCATTTGCTTTATGAAGATAACACATTGTTGAAATAAAAAGTAAATAAATATTTTTTTGTAAGAGAGATCTCATACTTGTACTTATTTTCTCACTCAACTATTTTTCAAAACAAACAGAATCAAACAATATACAACCAGATGTATTCTACATCATTTTGCTGGGTTTCCAAAAGCTCGAAGAAAGTTCTTCAAATCAGGTTTCTTTTCTGCAGGGGCTTTTCTTCTTTTTCCCTTAGAATTCCTTTCCCTCCCTTCTGTTTTTTCTTTACCCACCACCTTTTCCCTTAAATCTCTATTACACTTTAAGTGTGTAATCATCTTTTGCATTTCTCTCTTCTTCTGCTGTTCAAGCCTTCTCTTAATTTCAAGATTATTAAAGAAAGCACTATTTTTTGACCTTGATTGATCATTTTGATTATTGGTACTATTAACATTATTGTTGTTTTGAACATCGTTGGGATTGAACGAGCATTCTTCATTGATCTTTTTAACTCCTGACTTTAGGTTGGAAGCTTGATATTTCAAGTTCAGACCTTTTAAAGAAGGCAGGTTGAATGGTTTGGAGCAATTTGTTACCAGTTTTGATGCCTTAAAATTAATATTAGGAGATTCTATAGATGCATTTTCATTCAAAGCAGTTTTTAACACAACTTCAGGATTCAGACCTACAAATAGATCTTTCTTCTTTTTCTTCTTCTTTTTAACTTTTGTTGTGTTTTCTTCTTCTCTGGTTTCTTCTTTCATCTGTTCTTTTTTGGTATTTTCATTATTGCATTTTGGCATTTGCTTGATTTTATTCTTCCGGCACCTTAAACAAGTAATTACCTGTAACATTTAAAAGATTTTTGTTTTGTTTGTCTTTGGCTGAAATACTTAATAATAATAATAATGATGTACACAGAAAGCAATAATGTAGATAATATTTGTTTCAAATAGTATAAGGTATTTTTTTTGGTTCATATTTTTAAAAATTACTTTAAAACAAAATTGAACAATTTGAAATGGAATAAAAAATATTAAGACATCTTTATTGGGATAGATGGAATTTCAGTTCTTTGCAATGTTCAGGAGGGAAATCATTATTTTATTTTAAAAACAAATGTGGTTTATGATCTTGGTATGCAAAAATTACGAAGTTCAAAAATACAACATGTAAATGAGTAAAAAGTAAGAAAAAAGAAAATCACCAAAATTTAATATGGTGAGAAGTAATACCGAAGGACAATCAGTGTGTAAGACAGGATGTTGTTATGAGCATATTAAATGCATTAGAGCAGATATATCAGCCTCAACAAAAGAATGAATTAAGATCCTGAAAATAATTATTAGAACCAATAATTATTTCGGCAATTTTTTGGATTTATATACATATGTGTTTTAATATTGCAATTTATGTGTAGCCTGAAAAAGGCCATAATTCATATTGGTCAACACATTTTTAATTTCTATGAATTTGCAAACTTTTGGTTATATTGAATGTTTAATGTCTATTATTGCCTAGTGTTCCATAAGTAAACCTACAGAAGAGCTAATTGTTTCGAAGCAAATATTTTACATTAAATTTAGTTTTAGAAGCATAAACACACTAAACTGATTCAGTTTTTAAAAATTCGTTCAAAATTTTTGTGCAACTTGTTAACACTAGGTTTATGTTCCAAAAAGTCACTCATAGTGTGAACTTCCAATGAGTTTCCAGGCACTTTTCAAGTACTAAGGTAAGATATTGTTGTTTGTTTCATCAGACATTTTAGACAAAAAAGGAAACTTCAAAATTCAGTACAAGATTTCCCGTAGAAACCAATGAAAATTTAGCCATGCATTTCGATAAAATTAATTCAAACAAAGAAATAAATAAACTAGTGGTGCTACAGTGTCAGATTTTCTCTTACAATTTCTATTGGTTAGCAAAGCAATCATAATTATATTGCAATTAGGTACTTCAAATATTTCAGCCCCTATTGTATGCAAATATCCCATCATCAATTTGCTTCACATGTTGCACACCATATCTATTATTTACTAAAACCCACTGCATAAATAAAATTGATCTCTCTGTTGCATTAATGGCCAATCTTTGCACTTATTAGTAACTTTTCTCTATGATATTCAACAGCATCCTTAACTGTAAAATTGTTTAGCTTTGAAAATTTCCATCATGGCACTACTTATTGAACATAGTTCTCAAAGTTAACTAACTTCATAGAAAATGTCATATAGTCAGTGGCGAATGGTGGGAATGGGCTGTGTAACTGCAGCCCCTCCCCGCAGTCTTTGTCAGAATTATTTAATTTCACTTTGATATTTAAATTAAATATGCAAAATCGCACTTCTTTCAATTTCATGATCAATATAGCCTACTGATGGTGCGAAAAGCTTCTGCCATGTTCTTCTGCGATTCCATTCGTCTCCCTGGGACTGCGAGTCCCAGCTGCATGCAATCGAAACGTGGGCATAGATGATTTCGCTTCTCCCTCTGTTTATGTTTCTCAATTTACCATCACTATTGGGACTCCACGGGCTGCAAGAAATGCAGTCCCTTCTTCAGATTTGCGCCAAGTTTACATGATTTTAAAGCTCTGGCGGACGTTCCATATAGTTGAGGTGCTTTATTTTTCATATTTTTATTTTCTCAATACGGAGTAGAGAGAAAGTTATGAAATGTACAAAATATAAAATAAAATTTAAAAAAATAATAACTGCGAACTTTCAGTCGAAAAACTTATTACAGGATCCCGATAACGAAAAAGTGGATAAATCCAATTGCTAAATTTAGAAATAAAAATCCTCTAACACGCGAATAAGCCAGAATTCATGTTTTGTGGGTCCTTGTTACCAAAAAATCGAAAGACGACAAATCGTATCAGTTCATCCGTTTGTGAACAACATTAGCAGCTAAACCATTCAGCCAATTTTCTCCAAAATTGATATTCCCAAACGATCTGGCTAATGTCATGACCCCTTGAATTTGATACCAATATTTTAATTTTTGGGGGCACTTCACCTGACGCCATTGGGACATTCTCATTAAAAAAAGGGTTCTTTATTTTTTTATTACATTTCGTTATTGGATAGTGTAAATGACGTTTAATACAATTGTGGTCTCATTTTCCTTGAAAACCCTGATTTTTCGAATATTGCAAAAGTTAAAAATATGTGAAGAATCTTCCTAGGACTAAAATATTAACAATAGGTACATTTTGATATAAGCTCATGTATAATTTTAGGAAAATTTGAATAATTTTTGCGACATTTTGCGTGAAATAACAGTCAGAACGTACATGCTGGTTTAGCATCACTAGTTCGTGTTTGGAAACGGATACGAATAGTATTTCTATTCAATATGAAAAAATGTGAAATTTAGAAGCTTAACTCTGAAGAAAAGTGCAATAGAAAAGCTCGCTCGCATTTTCTATTTTTGCATGCAGCCCCCCCACCTCCCCCCATTAATTAAAGGCACCAGTCGTCACTGCATAGAATACAATAGTTACAAATGTTCTCAACACAAAGGTTAAGTTATCTTCCCTGTAATGATGAGGATATGTTTCATGAAACTTGTGGTGAAGCAACAGCATGTACTTCCTTGTATTATTTGTAACTGTTACATATTACTAGAGCCCGGAAGTTTGGCAAAATGCATTTTTGTTAACATTACTATTTTATGACTTTTAACAATAGGAATCACTTAATTGCACTCTTGGGTTTGTTTTAGAACATTTTCATATTGGATAAACATTTTCATTTAGAACTTTTGTATATTTTAGCTTCTGATGCCTAGTTTTGCTAATCTCTCTTATTTTTGCCTTTTGCTGCCTTTTTATGTCATTATTTTTCCATTTTTCTTCTTCTGGCACTGATCCCAATCAAATTGGATAAACCTGCAAGCCTGAATAACACAAAGGCACTGTTGTGTTTCTTCCTTCTGTGGAAGCAGAGGCTGTGTTCAAAATCTAAATGAAAAAAAGGTGAATCAAAAAACATTTTCCTTGATGCCATTTCGAGATTCAAAAGGGAGTTGACAATAGTACTCATATTTCAGAGGCTGCATCACAAATAAAATAAATTAGTTGCCACCATATCAGATGCCCATGTGGAATCTAGATTATAAAAAAAAGATAGTTTCCTTCCACATTAAGTGCTAATGTAAATTTTAGAGCCAGAATAAAAATTTGAATCTTTTAATAATTAATGTTTTACATAATTCTGTTTAAATGTACTTTTTCATTGGTTACATGCCTTTAGCTAGAATAAATGCCTCTTTGAATGCCTATTTTCATACAAATTAATGCTTTTCTGCCTGCCTATTTTGGGTAAAATAAATGCCTAAACGTCTAGGTTCTACATATCACAATACTTCTTGAATCTGCAAAAGTATTTCCAACCCACAAAATATTTGCCCATGCATTTGAACTCACAAACTTCGGCTTAGCAAGCTATTAACTACACCAAATTGCTCAATACACATAATATTCCTGACAATTTAATGAGTGTTGAACAGGTTAAATTCATATTATTTCAAAACTAGAGGTGTTACAAAAGCACATACTTTATCGCATTATTGGAAATTATTATGTAGTATTATAATATTGCAATTTCTGCCCTGCTAACAGTTCAACCATCACTTGAAAGGGTCCAAACCAATTCAAACAACGCACCTGTGGTGCACATCTGCAATTATTTCAATAGTCATTTCTTACTTCTACAAAAGAAACAAATATGAAATAATCCCAATTGGTACAGAATTTGGCACACATTACACAGACAAGCAAGGCATTTTACATATGCATGCCTTGATTTCATTGAAGTGAGCTTCCAATGTTTGAATACCATAATCCATAATCAAATCTTTTTGAAGTATAAGAAGTGTATATATGAAATATCCAGAATGGAATACTCTTAATTGAAGTCATTTGTTTACTATTTAATTGTGAGCATTGTAATCAATCTATTGGAAGCATTTCGATATTGCCTCTTTCAGAGTTTGAAAGACAAACTAATTACAAACACATTTTGTAGTCAAGGGACCGTTTGCCTTTGACCTCACAGTCTACATTTCCAGTCAATTAACACAAGAATTTTTACTGAACCAGTAAAAACCAGTACGATTTCTAAGTGTCAACAAACAATAGAGTAGTACACACTGAAGGAAACGCCTAATAAATAAATTAAAAAAAAAAAAAAAAAAATCAATATCAATGACAATGCATGAAAGAATGGGACAAATGGTTAACCTATGATGATGTGGATTATGTTACCGTTAGTTCTTCCACTACCCATCCTCTCAATCCATAAACAGTCACATCCCTGATGTCCTTACAGTGAATGATGACAGCCATAATTGAATGTCACCTGGAAATAATTCCAACTGAGAAGCATTCTCTTTAAGCATCCTCTTTCAACAAAGAATGAATAAAAATTTAAAAACAAAATGGATTATATTAGTCTGTGGCATATTTGCATGAATGTATCACACATGTCTGGTATGTGTTTGTAATAGATTCATAATATTTAAGCGAGTACACGTGAAGATGCATAATGCATAGTGTTTTGAATTAATAAAGAAGTAAACTAGCTGAACCCTTGTGACTTCATCAAACAAAAGGAAGAACTGTAGAAAAGTACAGCATTTATACTACACAGAAAATTGAAACTCCCTGCAAATACTGTTTCATATCATTCAGTTCTGCGGCTAATGAAACGAGGAGTTTACATATTCTGGAACAACTATGCTCTCAAGGGCAGCCAAAGAGAAACCCCAATCATGAAAGGAATTTTGATTAATTGGGGGAGAGCAATCAACAGAGCCTTCACTTACCCAAGAGTGCATTTACTGTCATATAACGAGTGATGAGAAAATTGGTTAAAGCAATTTGTCATTCATGAACAAACAAGTTCAAATGAACCAATGTTTGCTCAGCAAGCTTCTCCTATATTGTGGATGGGGGCCTCTCTTTCAGCATAGTTTGTGAACTAAATGAACTTACCCACTCTTTTACTCATAGTTAGCGATGAGCGAGACAGTTTGTGAGTGAAAAAAACTAAATAGGCTTGTTTAAAATAAATATTGTTGACTACACGCAATGTACTGATTACAACAACATAACTATGACAATTTTATATCAAGGAGTAAATTACAAGTAAAAAGTACATTCTGCTAAAAGTAAGGATTACATGCTGAAATTACTAACGAAGTAATCGTTATATGTAATTGAATTACATTTACTCAAGTACTCCCCAACACTCAATATAACATCAAAATATAGCTACAGGTCTTTTCAAAATTAACATCTTGATTATGGTTGCTTGGTAAAAGACACTGATGTTTACTATTACACATACATAACACATCACAATCTATAATTAACACTGAAAGGAAGGGAGATAATTTTCTTCACCTCTGATGTAGATGTAGAAATATCTACATACTAGCTAAAGAACCCTGCATTGCCCCATTATTTATCATATTAATTTATTAGACAGAAAGAGAAATTCCATCTATTGAATCTTCCCTCTGTCCTATCCAGCCCCTATCTGCCTTGCTTCCATCTGGAAGTTCCTGGTCTGCATACTTACTAAAAAATACTTCTATTTTTTGTTATTGGGGTTCCCATCCCCAAATTTCATTCACTTTATTACTGAAAATAATAAACAACTCTAAACTAAACAAAATATGTTTACTAACGTATATTCTTTTTTGTGAAATTTGGTATACTATTCCAATACTTTCAATAAATTACCACATTGTAAAAACTCCATCTTTTTTATATTATTTTCTTCACACATATTTATAAAGAAAAGTTTGAAATTGATCTTTGATTGACTTTTGAATATAATTTCAAAAAATTTTAATTGAATTAGAGTCAGCAATTTAAGATACTTAATAAATATTGGCTGGCGGAAAGGGGGTAAAAAACATTTAGTCAATTATAATATCTCCATAAATCCAAGTACACAGTGGATCCTGACTTGACGAAACTTTTTCTATTATCTAAAATAACCTTATCATATCTCCAAAAGCACATTTACCATTACCGTTTTACTTCAAATATATTTCTTTCTGACTTACATCAATTTTATTAATAATTTCCTTACCACCCAAAGGTATGCTCTCACTGTCCACTATAATAAGATACTTGTCTACAAAAATTCATTCCTCCGCATAGTTTCAGCATAATACGTAATTAACTAATAACATGTTTTCGTTTGTACCATCTTTGGGCAACTCACAAATACATAATAATTATGCTTACTTTACTACAACTTAAAACGTGCACATTCATACCTTTCTACTGAATATTTAGCACATTTATCAGAAAATTATTTGTTTCAATCGTTTCGTATCTCTGGTACACTTAATACACTCACTGCTTCACACAAATAAAATCAATATCCAAGTTACTTTTATAAATTTAGCAGAGAAAAACTCAGAATCGTTACGAATAAGACAATTGACAGTGTAAATAAACAGTCTTCTCTTGTAAATACAGAATTATGTGCATTGATGCATTCAATAATCTCAGAAGTCATCCTATGGTGGTCTCAACAGGACAGATGTACAAAGTAATTGCATTGTAAATGTATTAAGGCTTATGGTTGCAAATAATAGCCAACAGTACTACAGACCTTTAATGGAAGCTAACACAAAAGTTTTATCGGTATTGATACAGTAGATTCAAAGATTATCATGCTGTAAGTCTTAAGAACTTTTGTCTTTATTTATTAGTATAGATTAATTTCTTATAATTAATATATACTTACTAATTTGTTACCCTGGTTTAATTTGACAAACTCTAGGAGTTTCTGCTGAAATAATGTCAGCTTTCCTGGAGCTTCTTCTTGTTTCCTTAATAATTTTCGAATGCGTTTCCCTACGACTGGTTTTGGACGAACTTTAAGGGTGAAAAAACCATCATTCCAAGGGCGAAAACAATATTTACAAAAATCCTCCTTGAAACGTCTCACTCTAGATCTCGTTAACCTGTACAATATGAATGTGACATTATATTAAAAACACACGTAAAAATGTACAAAAGATAATATTATTCAAGTATAAAAAATGCAATGCCACACTTACAGTAATTCTTCAACATTCATATTATTTGAACATCTAATGTATTTCAAGAATTTGCTCGAATTTAATAAAAAATTCAACCTCTTCGCTTCTGCCAATTCATATTCTTTATCCATGCTCAGGGATTAGATTGATCGTTTATTTTTATTCTGTATTGTGATACAGATTCAGGTGCCTTCAATTTAATGTACCCAAGAGTACTAAGAGATAATTTTCGACACACTTTTTCCCACTAATTCTGACTTGTAAAGATTGATGGCACACATTAATAGTATTATACTTCTGACCGAACTTCTTCCTTTCCAGGAAAACCCGTAAAACTTAAAAATTACAGAAGTAGGGTTAAAGACGCTGCCAAACACTGAAGCCTTACTTTCACAACACCTGCACAACACGCCCACGGCTCGGCGTTAGCTTTTGGACCAGGGCCGGTTCACTCAATGTTAAAAGGCGGGGGACTAAGT